CAACCTTCATTAAACACCCATCTGCCCACCTACCCACCCACCCCAGCCACTCACTCACTCACCCAACCACTTCTCTCACTCACTGAGTTTTAAATAATCTATTACAGTTATCTGATTTCCCTTACCAGTCCTGTGTCAGAGTCATCATGATCATGAATAAACTGCTGTTCAACAATTCCTTCATCTATAATGCTGTTGAAACTACTGGTAGAGTTGGAGGGAGATATCTGCATTTTGCTTTGACTTTGTCTGTAACACAAGGAAATTATTTTATTAATCAAATTCGTTTTAACTTAATATACCAACTCATAATTTATTCTTTAGTTCTCATAAGAAGATCATATAATGCTATAATTATGGGACGTGCCCCCTTCTTAAATAAACTTTGTTTAAAAAAAGGGTTCACTATCAGCTCGGTTAGAGAAGCTATGAGGAAAGGGGACTACAGGTCCTAATTGACTGATTGTAACTGTTTATAAAAAACTGAACAAATGTAACTCACCTTGATTTTCCACTACTTCCTTGACTAGAGGCTGGGCTGGAGGGGGGACTGCAGGTCTTAAATGACTGATTGATACTGCTTGCACTTGGACTGTCTGATAAACGACATTGGCAGCTGCTACAAACAAATATTTCAAAAGGTGAATACTTTTTTTCCTTTTCACATTTTCATAATTTTTGTACAGTGCTGAGCCTTATTTTGCTCAAGTAAAGAAATTCAGTATCTGAATTCTGCCTTGTATCTATGTCAGATATCGAGGAGAATTCTTACCTTTTATCTGAACTGCTATCTTTTTCTTTCCTGTCAAAGGCTGCACTAGAGAAGCGACGTGCCAAACTCTTCATTGCTTTCTTGCCCTAGATAGAATAATAATTGGTTAAAATATTTCATTTGAGAATTTTGATATCTTGGAAACTGGATTTAGAGAAAAAAGCATATGATTAAGCTTACTAGTATCTTTTGTACATTAATAGGCTAACATGATGTTTGTCCTGTTACAGTTTATTTGACTTGAACAATGTAAACAGTGTCAAACAGATTGACAGATAAAATGTAGAAAGTAAACAAAATAACATTATAAAAATAAAACAGGACTTACTGCAGATGGGGACTTGTTTGTCTCTCCCACTGTTGCTAGAGGAGAGGGTGGGGCAAGTACTGATTTTCTTGACGCTTGCAAGGAACTAGTATCTATCGTCTGCGTACGCACTCGCCCAGTCAGTTTTTTAAATGTTTCCACCAATCGGCTGCTTTCTGTCTTTCCATTGATTGGGTACGATAACAGTGAAGTGTTCTTTCTCAGCAAGTCTTGATACAGCGTTTCTAGCAAGGCTGCCCGAGTTCGATCCTGAAAGTTGAATGTTACATTTTTAAAAAATGCGCTTTAAGATTAATCGTTATCAATATGAATGTACAATAATAAACTATTTGCAAATAAGTATAGGATTAATTTTTATGTACATAGAAAACATAACTCATAAAGAGAGTAATTATAATCTATCTGAAAATATAATTCTTTTGAAGACAAAAAGAATTATCTGTTCATACACACATCCCTAATAAAAGTCAACATCTCTTCCTATAATGAGTACTGTTATTTCTTTCAAGTCTTTACTTATGTGAAATCTTTCAAACAAATATACTGGCAAACATGGCTTTTAGATTCAAACTTACATTCAGTTTGGCAAAAGTCTGGGCCTTATAACATGAATTTTCTGCATTTATCAGTTTGGTCAGCAGAAATTCTCTGAATTCTGGTCCCTGAAATTATTCAAATAACAACAATAAATAAATGTGGAAATTATTTCTGACATTAATGGAAATAACTTCATAACCTCATAATTGATTATGAATATCAGATTAAGGACCTTGTGATATTTTGAAGGCATATGATAGAAAGAGAGAGAGAGAGAGAGATGCATACCTTTACAATCACAGCAGGTGAAGGTAGCGTTGGTCCAAAAAATGGGACATCATCTCTTGCTGTTACAGACACCTGGGAGCAACAATCAAATGCAAGTCAAAACAATGTGATATCAGATATATAGTCTGCAATATTAGAATACATGCGCTAAACCTTACAATTAAATATATATCAGGAACATTTACTTTTTCATTGTCTGGTCCTCCACTTTTACTTAATATAATGCATGTTTTACAGACTTGTTTTAAAAATCTACCTTTGAGTGAGTGTTTATAAAAGTAGAACACAATGAGAAATATGTAGAACTCTGATATTGAAACCTCACATTAGCAACTGACCAACGTTGCAATATCAACCTCTCTCTAGGTAATGACCTGAATGGACCAGTCACCTGATTTACTGGCATACAGATGTGTCAATAACATTTTGCCATCCTCTCCCTCACTTTACTTAAGAAAATGCACACTTTTTTAACGGGGGCATATACATTTTTTTTTTCAGTACAAACTGAAACTTCCTCACAGACATATGAATCCTTTTAATATAATGTAACCATGATACCTGCAGATAAAACTTACCTTGTAAGCTACATTTTCTGTATTGGCATTGATTGGCTGTATAACTATGAAGGTGTGCAGGAAGTGGGAAGCTATCATATCAGGCACAAAAGGCGTGTTCTCATCTTGGAACACTATGGACACTATGTCGTTGCCTATGTGCCTCTTCCTCTGCAACTGAAATGTGAAAAAAAAGGACATGCTGAATAGATGTGGCACTGGGTCGTATTTGTGTCAGCCTCGCACAGCTGATTTTAGGTGACTGATGGATTTGTGGTTTTCTGTTCAACAGTCTCCAGCTGCATGGTACAGAAGTGAAACAGGTGTAAGTAAATATATATATAAATCATAAGATAACAGTGAAATTGCATTTAGTATGACAGAAGAGAAACAATGCCACTGTGTTAGATATGACAGAAGCTAACAGTGACATTGGTTTAGATGTGACAGTGAACGAAAGTATCAGGATAACAACGACAATTGCATAGCTAACAGAAGCAGTTGACTTTGTGCACCAATTTTTTATACCTGCTGTGGATCCATATCAGTGTAGGGTAACAATGTTGACACATGGAACATAATTTCTCTGTCTCGGAATTTTGTGTAAACAGATTCTTCTCCAGTCTGACCATGATTTGTATCCAAACCACCACGAAAACTAAAATCAAATAAATACATATTTATACATATGTTATTGGTATCTATATTGTATACACTTAGGTTTTGACAATAACTTGACATGTACATATTGTGTACTGCATTTAGTATGACATACACAAGAACAATGTCATTGTGTTAAATGTGACAAAAGACAGTATCATAAATTAGGTATCAATCAATGCCGAAAATTTCCTTCAACGCACAATGTGCCTACCCTTTGAAATCTTTTAGCTGTATTCTCTGTCCCATGACGTTCAGGAACTCCTCCATAGCAGCACTATGCGTCCTGTTTCCAAATACTTCCTCTTCCTTTGTCTGAAAAGTTAACACGTAACATATTGTTAAATCTAAAAGGAAACAGGTGTATACACTTGCTACGTCATGATCTCACCTTCAAGTTGATAATGTGCCTACCTGATCATGTAATTCCGATATGACAATGTGCACAATTTTCACTTGCCTTGTTGCAATATCTGGTTTAACAGTTTTTAATTTGTTGCCAAGCTTAAAATCCACGTCAGCACATTAGAATTTCCCAGAAATTTGCAAATTGAAAATTCCTCATCAATTTTAAAGTCAGTGCAATGTTTTCACATTTTGTTACCAAAGCAATGTATAATTTAATATTTCGAACAATAATCTTATTGAAACTTGATCAATATCTATCCTACAATAAGGCGCACAGCAAATGTTTAACATAAATTTAACAGTTATCAAGAACAAAAAATAGATAAAGAAACGTAAAATCTTACCTGCCCAAATCTTTGGTATATGACCCCAAACTTAAAAGTATTTGTCAGAATGTGTTCATCGTAGTTGACAATCATCTCTGATCCCTTCAAATTGAAAAATAATTATCAATTTAAACATCCCAACATACTGTGATTACTATTGATAATCATTCATAATCAAGAATAACTTCTGACAGAACTGTTGTCCACTCCAACATAAAAAATTGTAAATGTATAAGTATATAATTTAGTATAATTTAGTATATACTATATATAATAAATAGTATAATTTTGTTCTGGCTGCTTGCCTTGATACAAAGAGGATTGGTTAAGGAATAAATTTGTTAAATAATTGACTGAACTGCTTTTGGACAACAATTCACCAAAGACTTATTCTTAATCAAATATATGTATTGTAATATTTATATATTCAAATGAATGGCTTTCAACAAATAAAGTATGGTGACCTATTTAAAAACTCAATAAGACCCATATTCAAAATGCGATAGTTGACTTATAATAGTTAAATAACAACTTTCTTTCTACAGTAAAATGTATAATACCAACCTTCGGAAACAATACAGGGTGAAAATGCTCAGTTGTGATATCATCGCATATCATTTTAGCCATTCGCGCAGGACTTGGAAGTGGTTCCAAGTTGCACACTGGGACAATCTCGTGCTGCGTGCCTCTGTGTGTTCTAAGGATAATACGAACATGTTCCTGGGAGGACACATTTTCTGTCTTCACTGACATTATTATGGGGCCCAAGTTATCATCCATGGCATAAAAATTGAAATGTTCCTAGAATGGGAAAATATAGAACAATTTGTCACATTCTCCCTTTTGAGATAATTTTTCAAGATAAATGAAGAATGAGTGAATCACTGATATAGACTTGTTGTTCCAAAGGACTTTTTTCTATGATGAAAATTCATAGCATTAACAATCTAAAATCTCTTCTGATAAATCCAAAGCACAAGAATAAAAATCACCATGATACAAAAGAAAGGAGTCAAAATGCCATGTACTGTTAAGTTTGTCTTTAACAATTTTGTATCAATACATAAAAAAATCTGTACATATAACACCCACCTTCCCTAAGAAATGTCTCCTATAATTTAACACTGTTTCATCATCTTCAACCTTATAAGGCCCAACAGGTGTCGCCATAGTAGGGTTTCCCTCATTATCCAGAGGGCAGGAGTGATCAGTCCCATCTACCCAGTAACCACCTGCTGTAGGCACAGATATCATGGGGTAGGGGCCAGGGCCCTTTAAGATCTAAAATCAAAATTGAAAATATTACCATTATGATTATGAGAGAGAGAGAGAGAGAGGGATATGATTCATCTGGTTATTCATATAAGTGGTTATGACATCTATCTCTTTCTACTGTATGTTTAAATCTGTACAAATACATCTTAAGTGATGGAATTGGATTAGTACCAACTATGACCAATGGTGATAAAATATGCTTGTTGCCATGGTAACTAACTTACCATCTCTACTGTGCTCTCTGCTCTATGCTTTCTCTCTTGGCAACTAACCTATAAATATAAAATAAATATACCTATACCTATAAAAATAAATAAAAAATGTTATTTTGTCATGGTAACTAAACTCCTATATCACGCTCTTTTGCCTGTATAGGATAAATGAATAATTAACACGCTTCCACTTTTGCAAAGCTGTTGATAATACAGTGAAATTGAAAGGAAAGGTATATTTATGTGTTGTCTTAGTAACTAACTAAAGTTATTTTATGGACCTAAAGTTGTCTAAACTGATGTTTTTCTAAATGATTTTCATAATGCATATTCAGATCTTATGAAGATGAGAACAAATATATCTTCAGTAGTATTATGGGAGCAGTAAAACACATTAAACATATATCTAAAATATAAAACATGTTAAGTGACAAATAGAGACTTATTTTGTGATCAGTTGTCATAGCAACGAATTAACACAGTCCAAGGCTCATATATGGCCTTGTTCAGTTCATACAGAGAACTACTGCAGACTTCTTCTTAAGGAAATGTCTAGAATTACTGTGGGAGATATGTTGACACCCATGCACCATATAACACAACACACAGTGGTCGCATTCACAGCAAGAATAAGTTGAACTTAATAAAAGATAAGTCAAAATCTCCCATTGGCAGATGAGAAAATTACTTCTGTGATATAGATATTGGAATATTCAGGCAATTGCCGTATCTAAGTAATCTGGCACCCTTTCTCAAAAGAACTTAACTAAATTAAAAAAATTTAAACAAATTAGACCAAAACAAATTAGAAAATATAAGTTGTGAATGTGACCATCCAACAGTTTCTACCTCCAGAGCATCAAGTGTATTTGCAACATCAGTGCCTTTACCACTTCCACAAATCTTACACCCACACCTTGATGATTTCAGCCACAGAATCATGCCATATATAATAACAGCAAAAGGAAAAACATGAATGAGCAAACTGCTTATAGTCCTTGGTGTTTGCACACATAATATAACACCACTCGTGGACACACACACACACACACACACACACACACACACACACACACACACTATGAGAGCATGCATGCATGAACAGAAAGAGACACACACTTTCACATATCCATACATACTTGCATATTAAAGCACACTATTTAGGTTTGATTGAAAAATTAGCAAATGACAAATTGCTTATTTGGCACTTATATTAGCATAGGCACTCTAATCTATCAGTATCCCAGTGTCACAACACATAAAAGACACAAAGAACCACATTTATAGCAATAGAGACAGATAAGTTTGTTGAGACAGGGAATTGTCATCCTGATCCGATACTTGCTGCAAAGTGATAACATATAACATGTGTATAGTACTCAACAAAAAGAAATCTATCCAGGTGATCTTTAACTTAGAAACCTTAAAATTTAGTAACTTTTTTATAAATATTTTAAACCAAACATATTATTGTACCAGGTCAATGTTTGCAACTTTATGGTTAAATGTTTTACAAAGAAGCCAAATCATGCCATTATGATAGTTCTTTTGTTGAGTAAAGAACAGTAGTGCAGACGATGATAGCAGTACGAGATATATGGGCTATGCCTAACCTTCCCACAAGGCAGTTCACAACGCTGCTCTTCCATTCTTTGAGATTGCAATCTCAGCAAAATTTCAACAAAATCATATCGCTGAAAGAAATGATATAGAATAGTACTATTTTTATTATTATTATTATTATAAAAGATCACAGATTCTCTCTTAATTCTTGCTCCTCCTTGAATACTGCCTCCACTCTCTCTCTCTCCCTCTCTTTGGGACCGTTCGTATGAAAAATCTATTTTCTAAAAATCTATTTTCTATTCGCGGTATCTTGTGATCACTCCAAGAGCAGCCGAGAGTAAATTACAGCTTTGGAAGTAACTGGGTCGCGCTGTCAGTAATTACGCTGCGGGGTATTCAGGGTACAGACCATGATCACAAGATACCGCGATTTTTAGAAAATAGATTTTTCATATGAACTGTAATCTGAGTGCATCCAGCCCAGTTGATCAGCTGACTCACTGATCTGTGGACTAAATATGGCTGACCCATCATAAAAGGAAACCACCTCCGCATCAAGGGACCATCAAGGGATAATAAGTGGGTACCTTTTAAGCCAGTTAGCCATATTTGACCTGCAGATCTGTAAGTCCTTCATCCTCAAAATTCACATTGTGTTAACATGCATTTATGTTTAGTATGATCAAAAATAGTACACTATGCATCTCATTTGACCTTTTTCTTCTTTTGGAGTGATAAGAAAACGAACCCAAGTAACCCTTTGAAAAACTGAAGTCAGGGTTATGTTTAAAAGGTTTGAATTTCCTTAGGTTCTGAAAGGAACCTTAAATCTTAAATTTATTGCTATTCATAAAGGTTAGTCATTACGAGAAAAAAGGCTTTGTTATTCAGAGGGTTTTCTATTCCCAAGGTTTGATGTTCTGAAAAAGTTTATTTGGCGATAATATCAATTCATGAATTGTATTAATTGTGTAATCAGGGCAATGACTTCTGTGTCAAAGAAGCCATTTAGCTATTTGTACATCATACATGTACACTAGTCTTCTTTGAGATTTACTATCTTTTCACTTTATTTGGACCTTCAGTATAGCAAACCTTCAGTATGCCAAATTTTCACACAGGGAAACTTTAGGAACAGCAAACCTTCGGAATAGCTAACCTTTGCAATACCAGACCATATGAAACCTTATAAGATATATAGCTAATAAGCTAAGTAAAATTAGCAAGGTTTACACACAATTCTTTTTCCTGTGAAAATACCAGGAAAAAAGTGCAAATTTCCCTTTCTTGTGGCAAGCTGTTGTCTCTCAGCTGGTTCAGTTACCTAGATGCACTAGTAATGAAAGCTAGGCCTTTAACTGACTGACTACATAAATCCTTATTATTACCAATCAGTAGGTCTTACCTGCACATTAAGCGGCATCTCACATCGCTGATCGTCAAAACGCTGACTCTGCATTCGCTCCAAGAGATCAAAGAAATCATTGGTCTAAAAAAGAAAATGAAATTGAGTCAATTTTCTAATAACAATATGGTGTAATTATATGAATACCCCCAAAATTATGTGTTTTTTGGTAAAAAGCTTTAATATATTGAAATCATTGGTCTAAAAAAGAAAAAGAAATTGAGTCAATTTTCTAATAACAATACGGTGTAATTATATGAATACCCCCAAAATAATGTCTGTTTTTTGGTAAAAAGCTTAAATATTCACACAAATTTACAGTGTTATGGTGGTTCACAAAACACCTATAATTGATATCTTTACTTCAACAGTGATGAGGATTTACTTTTTTAGAGCCGCTGAACAGAAAATTTCACCTAGTTACAAGGAGCATCAATGAAAATATTTGAAGACTCTATATTAATAACTTAAGCTGATATTTTATTGCAATTCCCACAATAAGCAATCACCTCTTTGAAGGCTTCAGAAATTAACAGTGAAGTGTAAATAAAAAAATACAACTTACAGCTTTCCTGTCAACTTCAAGGTCCGCAAGCATCCTGGACGCCGGGACATGTTTCTCACAATAGACGTTCCCGTCCATTCCCTGGCGCCTGGAAAGAAAAAAATGTTGTTGCTAATAAACACAAATACTGCAACCTAAAATGTCTTATAGCTCCGTAATTCCATGTCTGTAGAAGCAGAAGATGCATTTAAAATTTTGTCTCATTGTTAAGTAGCACTATAATATATTCTCTGCCAAAAAAAGCAAAAAATAATTAAAATTACTCTCAAAAGTCCAAATAAAACTTTCTAAAAAAGCTTTTAAAAAGCAATAAAATGGCACATGTAATAACAACCTTTGGTTGGCAGTTGATCTTCTCAATGTCAGTGGTAAACAAGTAAGCAAATGGCGAGGCATAATGCAATTTTAAATATTAAACTGATCTTTACATAAAAACTAACAGCCCTCGATTCTGATCCCACCAATACTAATCGCTCTTACTGAATGCTGATCCTTTATTTTAACGTCATTGCAGGTTAATTGACTTTCAATCGATGACTGTCAATCATAAGAAAGTCTAAGCCAATCAGTGCAAAGTGTCTTAATTGCATTTCAGTGTATGTCACCAAAGGCAGTACTCATTGGGCAGATTTCTTCAGAAATCAAATTTAACCAACCTTACACGTGTTAAACTGCCTCTACGTAAAAGAAAAGTGCTTCAGAAAATAGCAACGAGCTGACAGAATAACTTCCCTTCCTCTATCTACATGCACAGGTCTATCTACATGTCAGCACTCACTTTTTCAGCAAAATCTACAGAACGTGAATAAAACAAAGCTCACTATCTAGCTGTCTTGCTGAATATCACCAGAAACAAATGCACAAACAACTCTCTTAACCTAACTCATATATTGGCACGTTATCTAGAAACCTGGGCCTTTCTCACAGTGGAGGACATGTTCAAATGATAAAAATTCTTATTACTGGAAAGGGGGGGGGGAGGGGAGGGGAGCACCAGGTGTCCTTTCTGTTAAGGGGGGGAAGGAAGTTGAGAAAGGGCTCAAAATATGAAGTTGACAGGATAATTAGTACCTTAGCAGCTACTTTTTTGTACACGTGTGCCATGAGAGAGAGAGAGAGAGAGAGAGAGAGAGAGAGAGAGAGAGAGAGAGAGAGAGAAGAGAAACAGAGAGAGAGTTTTTTTTTTGATAATCACAGTCTGGAAACAAAACTCTAAATAACATTTTTAAGTGCAAATTTACCTTGATTTCTTAGCAATCTCTTCTAACAGCAAAGCTTTCTCAAGCTTAAGTTTCATCATAGCTGTTCTCCCCATCTCCAATGCTCATATCCAAGATTACGATTTCCAGTCTCTACTTTTACTCCAAAATAATTAGTAATTACACTAAGTCTATTAATCCTTCTGTCAAGGGCCAATCAAATCATAATGGAAAAAATAGTTTGTCCTAGATTGTCATGATAGAACAGCTCCTGTTTATCAGGCAGGAAGAATAAGATACAGCTTCGAGTCTTCTGATAACAAGCTGTCACCTAATTCTACAATTTCCACTACAGTTTACGTTGGCTTGGGTTTGTTTCACTTTCCTTTCCCGTACTGTATCACTTTCAGCAAGGCTCTTATCTTCATGAACATTTTTCTACACTGATTCAAGGTCCAATGAAACTGTACATTGTCACACAATAATTCCTTCCCATTCTGAACAACTGTAGCTGTGTAATACGTTAAATCAGTCTAAATTTCAGCTAACATCCCATGTACATTAACTCAGATCCTGTTTTCCAAAAAGCTTGTGCAATGGTTAACACATAGGAAGTGTGTGTACCGCTATATCTCTATGACAGCTACACCTATATGTACCTATGCCAGGATGTGTGTGTGTAGTGAGTTTCATAATACACATCCATCATTATAGTTCACATCAGTAGCCATCTCATCATGCCATTAATTGATATCCTAGTTCAGCTGTCACTGTCATTAATTGCAATAATGGAAGGTGATGAAAAATTGGGAGTTAATATGTCATAACCTCAGGGACGATGGGATGACTGAAGTTTCTCCCTTCCTTCTTAAAGAGGTCATTATCATCTACTGATATGATCAAGAAAAATTACTCTCCCAATGTCAGAAATCGTCATAAATCTGATTCCGGTCCTGTTAATATTTTGGTTCTATTCCATTACAAGGTAAACACAGTCCATATCCATACTTGTACTTGCAGTAGACCTCAATAGTCCATCTGATCCTACCATATAAAAACACTGTCAAAATCAGTCCACAGATTTAAAATAAAACCACGTTGACATCTAGAATTTTGTCCCCGAAGAATTAAAGGTCACCGTTGGCATCCACAAAAATAAAAACAGATGACACAATAAATATAAGTACCCCTAATAAATATATGGTGCACCAAATAAACTGTCAATTCTTGTGTCCAGGTTTGTAAAAAAATATGCAAGAGTGACACCTCAACAGTATATATACTTGTATATACATCTGAATCACCCTTCGCAAGTGCCCTCCTTCCTATGTTAGTTATTTTAGACAGTGAGTCATTAAAAACCAACCAGGCTTACAACTACCACACACTGAATTTCACTCAAGTTGACATATAAATGCTCATCTTTATTTTTTTTGAGCTGTTGATTTATTGACTAAAGGTTCATCAACAACTGCTAAAGTGATTTAACTTGGTTATGTTGTTTAGTCAATTTNAATTGGAGTGATATGGCAATCCCTAGGCTGTAGCATTAAAAGCCGTGCTGATATATTCTGGATGCGTTGTAATCTTTTGATCTTATCATCTGGACATCCATATAATATAGAATTGCAATAGTCTAGCCTGGAAGTTACCAATGAGTGTATAACAGTAGCAGCAGCAGATTGATTCAGATGTTTCCTTATGGTACCAATATTCCGAATGTTGAATAAACAAGACCTTGTGATGTTGGAGATCTGTTTGTCCATTGAAAGTGTAGAATCAAAGTATACTCCTAAATTTTTTACATGGGGGGAGGAAAATGCCATACTAGCTCCAATTTTAAGTTGCAAGTTATGAGCAAGGCCCTTGTTGTGGGGTTGAGTAATGACTAAAAATTCTGTTTTTCCATCATTTATCTTCAATTTGTTTGAAATGAGCCAACCTCTGAGGTCTGATATGCAATCAACAATTGTGTTCACAGACAATGCTGGATCATGGATGTTACAAGATGTGTACAACTGGGTATCATCGGCATAAAAGTGGTAACCTATCTTATGATAACGCAGAATTGCTCCAAGGGGTAAGGTGTAAACACAAAACTTAAGCGGGCCAAGCACGCTCCCCTGAGGAACACCAAATAAAAGCTGTGAGAGTTCAGAAAGCACACCATTTATATTAACTTGATGCATTCTCCCAACAAGATAGGATCGTAAAAGATCTAAGGCCTTATCTCTAACCCCTACACTCTGCTCTAGAAATGTCAATAAAATATTATGGTCTACTGTGTCAAACGCAGCAGACAAATCTAACAGTACCAATAACATAGCAGAATGTTTGTCAACACCACTTAACAAATCATTTTTAATTCTCAAAAGTGCAGATTCTGTGCTATGATTGAATTTGTAGGCTGACTGCATTTCCTCAACAAGATTGTTTGCTTCTAAATGCTTAAATAGTCTAACTGCTATAACCCTTTCTACTACCTTAGATAAAAATGACAAATTGGAAACAGGACGATAGTTTACCAAAAGATCCGTGTCAAGGTTGTCCTTTTTGAGTAGTGGGCGAATTATTGCAGATTTAAACTTTTTTGGAAAAACACCCACAGTGAAACATTTGTTGATAATTTCCACAATCAAAGTTATTACAGCCGGAAGAATCTGAACCAATAATGATGATGGGATCGGGTCTAACATGCATGATGTCTTTTTGGAACTGTTTATTATCTTTGTTACTTCACAAGTGGTTGTTGGTTCAAATATAGTGATGAGTGACTGCGGTTCTTGTAAAAGTTCTGACAAAGGTGGATGCGATGGTGTAGTCACAGTCTTTCCTAATTCAGAAAGTTCAGCGTTGATATTACTGACTTTAGACACGAAAAAGTCACTCATGTTATTTGCAAGATCTTTCACTGAATCTGTTTTGGGGTACTTAGAGCAATTAGTTTTTCCCAGAATAGTGTTGACAGTTCTAAATAAAGCCTTCGTATCACCATCACATTCTTGTATCATGTTAGAATAATAGGTTTCTTTAGCTTGACAGATTAATTTGTTTACATGACAACATGCTTCTTTATAGATCTGATGATGAACAGTTAATTTACTACCTCGCCACTTCCTCTCCGCTTTCCTTCTGTCTCTCTTTGCCTCCAGAATGTGATCATTCATCCAAGGTTGCAGATCTTTCTTAACAAACGTTTTAGTTTTGACAGGTGCAAGGTTGTCAAGTGCAGTTGTCAATGTCCTGTCATACAGAAGCACACATTCCTCAGGACTCAAATTATCAAAACTTAAATCACCCAGCTGTGATGTAATCTGTCCTTGTAATTCATTTACATCAATGCCCTTGATTTTTCTGAACGAGACTTTCTCTGCGTTAATGAAATGAAATGTGGTAGTACAGCCAGAAGTGCTGAATTTCTCTTGGTAATGGCTCAATAATTAATGTGAGACAATTTGACCGAAAATAATTGCCTAATTTACCAAAGTGTTTATATAAGTGTAAATAAAATGAGATGTGACCAAAAAATATCAGATGTAACATCAAGTTCTTGGTCAGTTGAGTTAAAATTAATACTCAGAATATAGTAAAAAAAATCACTGGATTTTCTTTTCACCTTTATGAAATATATATAAATGTAGAGACATAGCAAATATAATAAAATAGAATAAAATAATAACAATCTAAATCTTTATGAACTATTTCACAATGAACATCTTATAAAATATCTCAGAGTGCATGGCATTTATTGAATTCATAGCCAATATGTGCAATATAACTGAGTATAATAATCCTTAATTTTATGTGACAGAGTGAAGATGCTCAGCTGTTAGCAACAGATGTTTATTTATCTAATGTGTAGCCTGAAGAGACATCAGTGCTTCTGACTCCCAACAATTCACATGTCAACATTCTTGTCTAATTAATTCAGGTGAGTGGTTCTCATGATGTCCAATGTCCATGTAAAGAGGCCAATGTGTTTCTTGTTTTCTTCTGGGGGCATGATTTTCACTACTAGTAATTAGATTTTAGAAATTCTGAGAATGCGTGTGTGTGTGCATGTGTGCATGTGTGTGTGTGTGTGGGTAAGGATGTATGTGTGTACCTAAATATAATGGACCTGTTACAAGCCTGTAGCCAGCATTTGAAAAATAGAAAAAAGGTGGTACTTTTTATGAAAAAGTGGACCTTTGTCAACCTATAATGCCAGAATGGCCTAGAACCTAGATCGTATAATTATAATAAAAAAATCTGACCATTTTTTTCCACTGTTCACTTATGACCAACATGGTTGGATGTCTTAATTAATCAGACTGATGACAGTAGAGGTCATCACTATTTGACCACTGGGCTAGCTTTTGATTCAGAGTGGACAATTTCTGGACCAAGAATATTTCTTTCAACCCCCCCCTCCCCCCCGAAACCCTCTTGCCTTTTGACCTATGTTAAGTCAAGTCTTAACTTAGTATCACAGCAGTTTGTCAATATTTCCTCATTTTAAAGAATCTTACCACAAAAACACTGGGGTATATGTGCAAATTTCATTACTTGTATGCAACCTTTTGTTCGAGTTAAAACTGCCAAAAACGTGGTCTCCTATATCTGTTAGCACCATTAGATGTTATATTTTATTTAACTTCCACTTCTATCAGAAATTTGCAGTGTTTTGGTTTCTTTTCATATCATTTCATTCTTTATTAATTATCTTACCTTAAAAATAAATCTCAAATTAACAACCTGGTAAGTGGATGATGAAAAACACACCAGTTTAACAGAAGCATGTGCCAAAAAAAGTGAATAATGTCTTCATCATTTCTTAGTCCTCCTTCCTAATATCAAATCTTTCATTATGACTGCCTGCATAACAAAGATAATAAATAAGTATTACCAGGCCATTTTAATCTATGTCTCATTAACTGAAATGAAATTTTATTATGTGGTATTTATATTCATAGGTTTTCAATCAAAATCATCCAAAAAAAAAGTTGCATGTCAAATATGATTAAAGACATATTATCATTTTTTTTCATCTTTGCATTTTTCTCAGTTCTCTACTGGAATTATCCAGTCTTATGAACACTGCTGCCCACTCAGCACGTGTAACATGCATCACATGACCAATAGACAACGTGTAGAAATACATGCACAATATTGGGCGTTGGCAGAAAGTCTGGCATTGAAATATAATATGCCATTGGCATATTATATTTCAATGCCAGACTTTCTGCCAACTTGTTTTCATCATATCTTTTAGTGCACACAGGATTTTCTACATTTAATTGTTGACTGAAAAGATTTCATAAGCTTTTCAGTCTTTCACATATCTTATTACACTCTCGACTTCAGTTAAGTATCTTTCATGAGTGGTTAACTAAAAATGGGGACCTGGCTCAGATAATGCACTTCAGATATATATATATTACCAAAAAAAAGCCCTAATATTAGGGTGTTTACTAGTCATTATTATTTTTAAAACTAAGTGAGACTCAAAAATGATATTTGCCACGAGTCATTTCTGCCGTCAGAACTCCCTAGAGCCCAAATCACATATTTTCCATTAGCCATTACTGTTCTAGTAACAGAAACTCTGCACTCCTTGAGGCACAGAATGGCAGATATTGATAAAAAGCAACCCAATTGAAAAAGGGCAGTTTACACAATTCCAGTCATTATCAGATTCAGATAAAAAATATTCTTTTGCATTGTAAGTCACAGTGGTGATGTCCTGGTGTGAGCCAAGATTGTACCAGGGCTGAACCAGATTTTTCCAAATGTAAACTAGCCTTAATTTTTTTTTGAAAAACCATGGTAAACTGAATTTGGTGTGCTGTATCCTACTGAAACACTATTTGTTCTCAAAGTCATGAGTTTGAAAAAGACAATGGATCTCTTTCAATCCAAATATTAGATACCAAACCACTTTGAAAGTAAGCTAATACACCTCAGGCCATAAGCTAACATAGCAGTAATGTTGCCTTCCAGCTGAAAAATTGACAAACTTGAAACTGCAGTCAAATCGATGACAAAATGCTAACAAAATGACAAATCTGTTGCTACACCGTAATGCCATCAATTCCTTATCAAAAACATCTTTGACAGTTTTTCCAAATATTGCAAAATAAATGTAGCAGACAAGCCTTTTCACTGTAATCACTGTGTATCCCTTTAAGTACAACAACCACACAAACTTGTTATTTTCACCTCTTTAGAAGGACAAATACATAGATCACGTGCCAAACAGGACATAAATTGCCATGGACAAAAAAGCATCGATTTACTAAAAATTGTATTCATCACCTCAATTTCCATTCCCAGGTAGTCAAATAACATAATCCCCAGACATTAACATTGTACATTTCCCCCATTTCCTACTAATTTGTGAAATATAAGATAAACTTAAGGCTTCCAATTTCCTTATATATCTCTTATGAGATAATACAAATAATATACTCTAGCAATGCATACTATATTGAATTCAAACTTACCTACAATTGAACTTGAAGTGTATATGAAAATGCATGCAGAGGTGTGTGCATGTGTATATATGTATGCATGTGCATGTACCTGTGTATATGTGTGCATGTGTGTAGAATTGTATGTGTATGTGCATGTGCACATGTGAGTGTTTTCTTTTTGTGTGTATGTGTGTGTGTGTGTGTGTGTGTGTGCATATGCATGTAATTCCAAACCTTAAGCTTTTATGTCAATCACTTTTGCAAATAAACAATTCACTTACAAAAATAACAGAATAAAAAAGGAAGTGTAAACAAAAGTTGTAATCAAAAACCATTGTAGACTGTTTATCTGAATTTCATATTTTGTATTTTGTGTCAACTGAAACCATTCTGTTACAAGAGGCATTTATAAGGTGCCATATTTAAATGTGCTGACATATGATCACTAGGGTTCTGAAGGTGTATGTCTTTACTAGGTGAAAAATTGCTTTCCTTTCGGGCCCAGGGATTCAATTTGGTGAAAAAATCTTATACAAGATGCAATCTCTTCTGAGTAGAATATTGCAAAATGTAAGGCTAATAACAGGGGCGGATCCAGAGATATTTTCTGAGAGTCTTCAAAATTATGTTTGTTGATCCATCCCCCATTTTTGACCGTCTTCCATCAGAAAAAATAGATACCAGTCAATGTAAACTTGAAAATCTGACCGTCTTCCGGAAGACCCAGAAGACGGCCTAAATCCGCCCCTGAATAAGCTAATGAATAAGTAGAAAGATCAAACTTCCTTACCTGTAGTTTCGTAACGTCAACGGGGCATCACACCTGCAATGACAAGGAACAAATTTATTAAGAAAAATGAAATTAAAAAAATTTTAAAGACTGTGTTATCATCTTTTTCATTTCAAACAACCATTTTTGAGCACCTGCATTTATTGTTGTTTTTTTTTTTTACCATTTTGATGAAAAGAAATCGTAGAAAAATTCTACATTTAAATATGTAAATATATACATAAAGTGTGAAGTTTCCTCATTTCTTTATCTGCCTGAAATTTAAACATGAAAAGGACAAGGATACACTTTTATATGCTCACAGAGAACACTGATAATAAAGTATAAGTTATGAAATGGAATCAGTTAATAGGGATGTAAAAATTCAATACATCCCTTTCTAGCTACACACCTAGCTGTCTACCTGTTATCATCTCTGACTTATGTTAGTCATCTCCTCATACATAAACACAGTCCACCAAATACATTTACATTGTACCTCTATAAAGCTAAGATAAAATACAAAAAATATTAATTTCTTAGTGAAAAAAACATTATAAGGGTGGTATGAAACTGCATACATGGATGGCTTATATGTTGAAGAAAGAAGAAGAAAGATAGGGAGGGAGAAGTGGGATTGGGAAGTAAAGAGGCGAAGGAGAAAGAGAGGGTCAAAGGTCCATATAGGAGAGGCAGTATATAGACTTTCGAGGCAACAGACTCCTATAAGACCACTATATCCACTTTTTTCCAGTATTAAACTTACTCTGTGGTTGCACTAACAGACATAGACCTCCTACGCAACCCTTTAATTCTAAAAATATCAAAACCAATGCTGCCCTGCAAGCTGTTACATCTTTTTCTTCCTATTATTCTATCTAAAAAACCAGATGGCAGCAGGGGTGGGCTTGACGCTTGGTCATTAGGACTCCACATCTTTTTGGACATTTCTTTTACTGCCAAGTCACCGCAATGTTTGGTCAAGTCTTCCCATGTTGTAATGAAGATTTTTGTCAACATCCAGTCACTAATTCTTCCTAAGTGAAATCAGGATAACTGCAATCTTCCTGGACTATGAATTAGCTATTTGTTAATTTTTGGCAGGCACTTGAGGAATTTTTCTTGAAAATTAATTGTTTTTTCCTCAATCTTCAAGCCATTCTGTAAGTTGATTTCTGCCAGGTGCTTACTGCATGAAATCCTTTGGAAAATTAACTTTTCTAAAAATCTTCAAGTAATTCTAAAGTTTATTTTTGGCAGGTGCTTGCAGAAATCATCTGGAAAATTAATTGTTTTTTCCTCAATCTTTAAGTCATTCTGTAAGTTGATTTCCTCTAGGTGCTTACTGCATGAAATCCTCTGGTAAATTAACTTTTCTCAAAATCCTGGTAAATTAACTTTTCTCACAGTCTTCAAGTAACTCCATAAGTTAATTTTTGGCATGTGCTTTAGTAATTGTCTTTTCCTGAAACTTCTGAATGCATAAACTTTGTAGAAATGTCTCCTAAATTAAAGTTTCACTATTTGCTGTAATGTCCACAATGTTTAATTAAGTTGCCTTCTGACACAGAGTAAGCACAACTTGTCAACAACTGTACTTCACCTAAATCTGCTTAAACTTGGTCCTAAGTCACCTCTGATAACTGGAAATATCCCAATGCCTTGTTATTTCACAAAACTCGGAGGCAGCCAACGATGCCTTGTTTTTCTTTTCTGTTCCTAATAACCTGTCCCCCAAACTTGAGCTGTCACGACAAAAGCATGGGAAAACTTGGAGTGCTCACCAACACTCCTGATGGCAAACCGTTTCTCTCTTAATATCTTTTGACAGTTCTATCTCCATTAGATTTCCTGCTGATTAACATTTGTAAACAAGGGAAATTATCCAGCAGAGCCCTGAACAATCAAGCCCTATTTTCCCTAATGAAGAAGTGCCATTTTCTGTCAGGTTTCCTATCAGATCAACCAACATTCAAAAAGGCATGACTCCATTACTGAGACAGAGGAAATTGTCCATTGGTATTCTGAACAATCAAGACACTGTTGGCCCACGTCCTTCTTGAAGAAGAAACTGGGTTTTCTGTCTGCTTTCACTTAAATCAGTGAAAATTCAAAAAGACGCAACTCAAAGTAAATGCTGACACTTAGGCTGTTTCCCACATTTCCCTAGCAAAACAAGAAAGGACTGGAAAGGCTGCAAGAACAATAAACATTTGGTGAAATCAACTCCATTCATCAGGTTTGCTGGTGCTCTATATAACATGTAATACTTGTATGGTGTTTGGTATTAAATTTCAGACATGGATTTACTATCCTAAGCATCAGAGATTACCAGAAACCAACCACAAGATACCGGAAATGCTGGAAATAGCAAAGGCATCCTGACAGCAGTAATAAGTTTTTAGTGCTACCTGTAAGTAAGAGTCAAAACAAGTTTTTTTTTTCTGATGTTCATCCACAAAATATCTGCTCTATTGTACTCTATATAAAAGTACTGCTCTGCTCATTTTTGTTTTATAGGAAAACACATTCCCCATTTTAAAAGATCATCTTTTCTTCAAATCATTTTAGACAAACATCTACCAGCAATGAGATCAAGTTATCACTGATCCTATTTTAAAACCACATTTTTCTTGCAAAAAAATGCCATTTTTTTCTCTCTACAATATTTCTGTCTCTTCCACTTAGGAGCTATTTCAAAGCAAAGTTCAGTAGTCAGGAACAGCTGCTACCTAGCTATCCTGTTACTTAATATCCACACCACCTAGATATCCAGTTTCTAAATACTTTAGCTATAACATACCCCTAATTAACCTCCAAGGACCAATCTTTTGGATAGATTCTACAGTAAGCAGCAGGTAGGTTGTTAACTCATTAACTTTAAAATGTTCTCCTCCCCCTTTCCCTAAAGTTTTTTAAGCGAAAAAATTTTGTCTCAAGTCTTTCAGAATAAACATATACTATCTAATATAAAGCCAATTAGTTTTTTTTTCAGAACTTTTACATCATGAGTACAGGGTCCAAATCAATATTTTGAAGATTAAAAAGATCTATCAATTGCACCCCAAGAGATCCCCTGTGTTCTGCTCAAATATACAGACACTTAATTAATGCTTCATAGGGAGCGTAGCTATACTTTCTAAAGGACAGCTAGTCTGAAGGTCCCTATTCAGAGACAATGCTGTTCTGAAGGATCACTTTTCCAAAGGTTTGCAATTCTGAAAGTCCACTATTCCGAAATATATCTCCAGATTAAATTATCAAGTCAGCTGCATTTTTGGTAATGTCTAATAAAGGATATGCCTGCGTAAAGTAAATTGTACTCAGGATGTCTATTGAATCCAGCATACACATTTTACCATCCACCTCTTTTTGCTATTGTTTTAACATTTTCTGTGTGTTATACACATTCAGTGCCACACATGCACATATGTGTGCAGCGACACACACACACACACACACACACACACACACACACACACACACACACTAAAATGACAAAGTTCACTAAAAAGCTCTCTTAGTTCTAAAAGATCTAGATATACAAAATCAAGAGTCAAATAACATGAGCAGTCATATGTAGTAGGGCATGAAGAATGAAGAGATAAAAGAAATTGCCAAACTGATTGTGCTAGGTCAGATACAGATCCTGGTGTTCAAATTGTGCTAGTTGTGACAAATTCACACATCAACTAAGGCATTCTAGAATATGGCACTCAACTTTCAGAGAAAAAGACATGCTCTACACAAAAGGATACTGAAAAATAAACGTTAAATTCAAAAGATTTCCCAAAATTGTACCTTGTATCATCCTTCAAAAACTTTTGGTGGCATTCAAAACTCGTCTAACTTTACATCAGAATAAATTCGGATTGGGCTTTAACTTTTTAAGTGTTGCAAAACAAGCACTGGTTGATAATATTGAAAAAATCATTTTAAAAAAATCATAAATAACAGATTAAAGTTTGACATTACAAATACCCCCATAGGACAAAAGAAAAGGTAAAGATATGGTTACAACAGTGGACCTATTGTAGTGATAAATGTATGTATCACCCAAACACTCCACCTAAAATCCTGCGTCTACAGATTAAGGAACAGATTATCCCTGTCCCCAAATAAACCATTGGCAAGCTCAGAGAGAAAACAATTGGTACAAGAGCATGTGCACGAGAGATAATAACCGTTGACGGATAGATTAAATATTAACTGGTTTTCTTCTAAATATAACTCCGTATCAACCGAACAGAAGGTCATGAAATGATAGATTTAGAAGAAGCAATGACAGCATTTGATAGGACAAGATTAAGCCATTTGGAATAAGCCTTTTTAAATCTTATCATTCATAACCAATGATATTCATCTAATTCTAGAACCAGAAACAGAAAGGATATCTTCACAATAAGACATCATTTTCAATATCCCAAGATATATCACCCATGTATCATTTGACTGTGGATAAATTTAATGAAGACTTTTAATCATTCTGCACCTGAATTATACTAATAAACCATGGCAGTTCCAGCACTTTATAACTAAAGTCATAGAATCACAAAATGGCATTGAGAAAAATACAGAAAAAAATGGTGAATATATGAGAGTGGAAAGAAGAGGAGGCATGCTAGCCTGTTAAACTGATTGTATTCAGTGAGAGTTCCTGCAGAGTTGGAACGATCCATGTAGATCAATAGTTTCAATGGGAATGAGCCCTTAGTCACATAAAACATTATCACATATTTTAACAGGGGCCCAATCAAACAAATGTGAAACAAATCAATGACCATGTCTCCCTGTATGTGCTGTGCGAGAAGATCTCACTGCAATCAAGATCCCTTTTAAATATTCATCTTATTTATACACAATATATGTTATGCATGACTTATCTATAGCTGAACTGACTCAAGACTATTTTAGCTTGGTCTCTCTCTCTCTCTCTCTCTCTCTCTCTCTCTCTCTCTCTCTCTCTCTCTCTCTCTCTGTGTGTGTGTGTGTGTGTGTGTGTGTGCACATGAGTGTTATGCACAGGGTGACAAACTATATAGATAGTGGCTTGA